CACACACACACACACACACACACACACTCACACACACACACACACACACAAAGATTCATTGAACAAAAAATTTAAATAATAATATTTTTAAGACTTTCTTCTGTGGAGCATGAGAAGATGTTTAGCCAAATGTTCATGCTGCTTTTTTCCCTCACAATAAAAGCGGACAGTGACTGGACAGTGCAATTTTTTTTGTCATGACATAAAGCTATCATTGTGTTTTTATCAGTTTTGAGAGCATCACGTTCTACTGAATATGTACAGTAACGTAATTTTCATGTTTGTGTGAGCTGTTCCTTGCACGTCTTCCCTAAAAGACACAGTTTATGGATTGTCCCATGATGACAATTTTCTCAGGTGATCTATATGGCTCCCATCAGCGTGGGTTCACCCAGCATGGGTGTGATGGCCCAATCCCGGCCCCGGACCCCTGCTGCAGCGTGGCCGGACGCTCGGGGCAGACAGAGAAAGGCCTCTGACCACAAACACGCCAGAGGAAAAACACCCGCTGATCAGAAAATCAAAGGCCTTTCACTGATGCCTTCTGTGCTGATTTCTAAAATAACTTTGGTTATAATTACAGCTTCTATTTCAGCCATAAAGCAGCTCTACAGAAAATATGGTGTCATTATTCAGTTCAAATTATTCAGCAAGCTCAGCTGTTCATAGCTAATTCCATACAATGAATATAAATTTTTGAATAATGATTAATTTTCAATGAATATTAAAGCCCCAGAATATGTCAATATTCAATTCTCTTTACTCAACAATCACTGCCGTTTTAAACCCAACTCTCCTATTAAAGTTTATACTTCGGAAAATAAGCGAGTAACAAAGATTACTTTAAGTCAACAGAGGAGGTGAAATCTGTCTGATTACACACACGAGACGCTAGCAGATAAACGAGACGAATGAATTGTGCTTATCCTGTTTCTGTTATTTGCCTTGGAATAACACTGGAGTGAGATCGAACTGCTGATCGTTATTTTCAGGATGTGAGTTACTGTGAGAACTTGGCATTTCCTCTGGATATGTGTGACCTTTGACCTCAGTAGCATTGCCGTTCAGTAGATTCGTTTATTTACATTAAAGTCTGGTGCCGTCCTCTGTTGGTGTTTTTCCCAAGTCATTCGATGTTTATTTACTGATAACGGTTTGTTCCTGTAGTAAATAACCTAGAAGTTTTAATCTGTTCTATTATTTAAAGAATTGTGGGTAAAAATAGTGAACTTAATGAGAAATGAGCAGATGTTGTCCTCCGTGACACAAAGTTCTTTAAGATTTAAACTGTAGAGGTTTATATCATATAAGAATACAGCAAAGTACTTGAAAAAAAAAGCAGATTCCATAACTATTAGATAATAACAATAGTTATTAGAGAACTATTTTCACATTCACAGGTAAAATAATGTGATGATGCTGTGAGAGGAAGACTGTAATGAGGTGCCTGTATCTCTTTCCTCTGGTAGAGTCTTTAACACGGATGAAGTGTTGAGTTAACCTGAACGCTGCAGGATTAACGGGTTTATGGTAATCAGTGGAGAGAGCTGACAGGCACATTATCGGACAGATAATCTCTCAACCTGCTGCACTCAAGGTGAAGGTGGCAAAATAACTAACACAAACACACGAAACACACTAAAGAAGACACACGGGGAACACTGATGTTTCACTGTAAGTTTGTCTGTGGCAGAGCGAATACAAACTCTTACTCTGATCAGCACACACTTGAGACTGAGAGCTCAAACGAGGGCTGCATGAACCGTCTCTCAGTCCTCTGGTTGATATTGACTTCATGAGGAAGCCTGTGATTTTTCTGTCTCATATTCTCAGTGGATTTGCTCAGGCCCCAGTGTGTGAGTGAGTGAGTGAGTGTGTGTGTGTGTGTGTGTGTGAGTGAGTGAGTGTGTGTGTGCGTGTGAGTGAGTGAGTGTGTGTGTGTGTGTGTGTGTGTGTGTGCATGTGTGTGAGTGTGTGTGAGTGAGTGAGTGTGTGTGTGCGTGCGTGTGTGAGTGAGTGAGTGAGAG